AGAGTTTGGAGAGGAGGCCTGAGCCCGGGGAGGCCGCACCAGGACATGGTGGTGTCACCATCCCAGGAGTGTCCAGTGATACCCTGGGGGGGATACCCAAATATTTCCCCCACCTTCAGCACCTCCCACCTGCTGGAGACACTGCCTGGGCTGGCACGTCCCTGGTTCCAGGAGGGGAGGCCAGGGCCTGGCAGAGCAGCAGCTGCCAACATGGGAATGTTTGAACAAGGAGCGAAACCTCATTTAAACAAATAAATAAACAAGCTGACATCCTCCAGGCCCAGGTTTATGATAATAAAAACAGAGCACACAGCTTGTGGGAGGAAAATACATCGTGTATTTTCACATCTCCCGCTTCCTCCGAGACCGTCGCAAGAATTTCCTCCGAGTCCATCGCTTCCTCCTGACATTTCTGAGCTCAGAAATCCCTATCTGAGCCCTGGTGCCCTCTCCTTGGTGAGTGATGCAGGAAGAGCCTTTGAAGGATCCCCGTCAGGCAGATTTTTGTGGCTTTGAGGTGCTGGAGGCAAGACAGGGACAAAGCAGAGCTGGGGATGGGCACCCAGCACGTCCCAGCCTGGGGGTTGGGACCCTTTTTCCTCTTTTTTCAGCCCTGGAGGTCTGTGCAGAGCAGCTCTGGGCAGTTTCATTTACTCACATGATGGTGTCCTCCAGCCAATCTTCCTGTTGAATTCCAAGGAATTTTCTGGCGGAATCATCATGGAATGGTTTGGATTGGAAGAGATTTAAAGAGATCATCTTGTTCCAGGGCAGGGGCACCTCCCACTAGACCAGGTTGCTCACAGAGGTTCTGAAAAAAGAAGCTGCAATTGGGACCTGCACCTGCACCTGGAGCTGAACCAGTTCCATCTTTATTTTATAATAAAATCCTCTGTTCCAGTTTGCAGTGGAGGAATGGACAGAGACATCTCCCACACTGATAACGTGGGGTGTAATCAGGAACTCAGAGCAAAGCCATGGTTTAGGAACAGGCAAAATTAGGCAAGAAATTTGCTGGAGTAGTCACAAATAAACTCTGGGATATTTTAGTGTTATTTCTGTGCTTAAAATGCTTTCAGAAATGGGGCTGAAGCATTTTCCTGGTGTTCAGATCCTCGAGCAGCGCTCAGTTGTTTGCACTAAGTTGTGAATGAGCTTGGGAAACTAAATCTAAGAATTCAGTAAACAGGTTATGGAGATGGGAGCTGGGATATCCTGGAAAGCCCCAGCTGCCCTGAAAAGGAAAAATAAAAAAGGAAAAAAATGCAAAAAAAAAAAAAAATCACGAGTGCATTCCAGAGTCTTTTAAATGAAGGTCAAGTTGCCCCAACTCTGGCTCCAGCCAAGGCAACTTTTTTTTCCTAAAGATCAGATAATTTAGGCACCTCTGCCCTAAAGCAGTGACCTCCAGCTGTCCCCAGGGGCCGTGTCCCCAGGGCAGTGCCATCCACGCCTCCACAGCCCCCAGCCTGAGAGCGAGCCCCAGCAGCGCTATCACAGAGGGGGGAAAAAATAAAGTCACCTTGGGAAGAGAATGCTTCCCATTTTTTGGCTCTCAGAGGTGTCAAAGGAAGCAATCTGACGTCGAAGGGCCGGAAAAAAACAGCTCCTTGGCTGATGTTGGTGCTGCACAGCGAGGTCACTCCACCAGCTATCAGTGGCTTAAAAATAAATGCAGCGTGGAGGCTGCCATTCAGCCATATCCTGGATCTGAAAGCTGCAAGCAGGAAGAAACTGGAATGACCTTCCCTCCCCCCTGCCCCATTCCCATGGTGTTTTTTTTCTTTTCCACGCTCCTGGCTGTAAATCAGTGAAATTTTTGCATTGCGGAGGTTGAAAGCAGCCCAGGGAAGGGCTGGTGTGGGCGATGCCAGGCTGTGTGTTCCCTCCTGGGTGCCCTGTACAGGGGTGGGAGCTGTGACACGGAGCTGTGGCAGGGAGCTGTGACAGGGGACGTGTTCCCAGGTGTCCCCAGGGGGCTGCTGCGTGCAGTTTGTGTGTTCTCTGCCTGGACACCTGGGCTGGAGGCCGAGCTGAGCCTGCACGGCAGCTCCGGGCACGGATGGAGGGCGGTGCTGGGGTCACCAGCCCTGGATGCTTCAGAAATGTCTGGATGTGGCACTTGGGGACAGGGTTTAGTGGTGGCCTTGCAGCGCTGGATGAGTGGTTAGACACAATAATCTGAATCTCTTTTCCCACCCCAGAGATTCTGTGATTTGATGATGATGATGGTGATGGTGACCAGGCCCACACCCCTGTGCTGCCTGCAGAGCGAGTTCTCCGACACGCACACGGGAAAAGAGAAATTCCTCTGTGGAATATATTTATTTAGTAGCTTCTCCAGCAGATTAAAAAGACATCACAAACCCATCAGTATTGTCCCAGTGGAGCCTGTCCAGGCAGGAGTCACTCACACAGAGGATGAGACATGGGAGGTAAAGCTGCTGGGGACACAGGAGCTCCAGGAGCAGCTCAAGAACAGCTCCAGCAGCTGCAGATCTGGCCCTGTTCACTCCTGGTCTGTGAAATTCACCTTTTTTACCTTCCTCCCTCCTCCAACCTCCATCAGGGATGGAAAGGAATCTCTGAATGAGGAACCTGGGGCAGGCAGGGGTAGGAGCTGACCCCTCTGGGAAAGGAGCTCCCAGGTAGAGGTGTAAGATTTTGGGTACTTTAAACAGTCCTTGGCCAGGTGATCCTCACCTGAGAGGACCCCAGGGCCCCATTTCTGCTCCATCACCCAGCAGATTTTGGAAGAAGCTCCACAGCCAAACTGGGAGCTGTGTGGGAATGGGGTGCCCAGGCTCTCTCCTTGCAGTAAAATCAGAAATACTGATTATTTGCCCTGTACTTCCAGTCTTAGTGAGGCTTCCCCAGTTAATGCCAGAGATGTCCACGACAGGGATTATCTGGGGAGCCTGGCCATGCTGAAAAGTTGACACCAGCATTACCAAACTGCTGGGGGCTTCTCCCCACCACAGCAGCACAGCTGGGCTTCTACTGAATCAGCACTGTTACAACTCCTGCTGCCCTTTCTGCACCCCTGTCAATCCTTTTTCCACCCAGCAGCAATGGTGAGAATCACCAAGGTAAAAATCTGTGGGCAGAAAATCAGCTTATGAAACCCGTTTACATTTTCTCCTGAGAAACTTCAGAACACAGGAAAGAATCGACACCCAAACAGAGAAAGAAAAGGAAGAAGATTTATGTCTCCTCTGCTGAGAGGATCAAAACCAGCCATGATGTAATCTCTGATGGAGCCCACAATCCCCTTTTGATGTCTGCAGGAAGGAAAGAAGATGCTGAGAACTTTCTCAGCTCTCTGGACGTTATTTCCACATCCAAGGTCAAGAGGTGGTGGAAAGAAAAATAAAGTCCCACTGGGAAATGAGGAGTTGAAAGAGCCCTTTCCTTCCCTGGGGCTGCTGGGCAGGGGCAGAGCTGTGCCCAGGGGTGCTGGGATGGGTGGGTGAGTGGTGGGATGAGTCAGAACCACAACCCCATTCCCAGCTGTGCCAGTGGCTGTGCAACACCTGCACAACTGAGGGACCTTCAAGCAGCTGTGGAAGTTCACAGAGGGATTTGGGAAAGCAAAATGTTGTGGCCACAGATTGACCTGAGTGTCCCCTCCCACAAGAGTGCTTGATCCCACCATGCCACTCACAGGGAACCCCTAAATTTAGACCCACCAGCTGTGAGAGGCATGAGAGGTATTTAGGGGCTATAATTTTAGACAAAGCATAATAGTGAGATATATTTAATTGTGTTCTGTGGGGGCCTGAGCCATGCCAAGTATTTTCCATGGTTATTCCTGTAGACCTTGACGTGAATTAGCAGCAGCCACAGCAATCCCTGGGCAGAGCCTGCAGCACGAGGGACGGGAGGCAAAGCTGAATTTTGCATTTCACCCCAGCTGGGCTTTGTGAGGGAAGCACTCTGGCATCCACTGGAGCTGGGAAAAGAAAAATCCCCCCTGCAAAGGCCAGGTGTGAATCCTCAGCAAGGCTTCGGCCCCAGCTCTTCCCAAATCCCCTGCAGGATGAACAGGGCAGGCATTGGAGTGGTCAGAGCTCCCCACCCCAACTTCCTGAGCTGTCCCCATCCCCTCCTCTTGTCCCCCTCCCTTCCTCTTTTCATCTTCTTGCATTTCAGGAGGCAGAGGAGGAGGAGGAGGAGGAAGGGAATGGTAATTTTGACTGATGATGAGGAAACAATTTGGTGTAACTCGAGCCAGTTTTTTGTCAAACACTCAGCACCCAGCATCATTTTCCTCAGCCTGGGGAGGCTCATCTTACCCTACTACCTGGAGGGTGTTTAACCTCCCTCCATCCCCCCAGCAGGTCAGAGTTTTCCAGACATCCAAAGAAAGGGGAAATTTGTGTTTTGGGTTGTTTTTTTTTTCTCATTTGTCTGTTTTCCAACACCACTTGTCCCCTCTGCCTTGGAGTATTTGTGCTGACAGGAGAAGACCAAAGTGGAGAGGAAAAGTCTGGAGAGCTCCAGCTGCACTGGAGGGACTTGATGCAGCTCTAGGAATGGATTTAATAAAAGACAGGACAGAGGGATCAGAGATCAAGAGCTGGTCCAGCCCACAGGGTAAGAAAACTCCCTTTTTTGTCTCATTTTTGTATCTGTGGCCCCTCCAGTTCAGCTCCTGGGGCTCCCCTTTAGCTCAGAGGTGTTTTATTCCCCCAGCATCTTCTCCGTGATGGTGGCCAAGGGTGGGAGCTCCCCCAGCCCTCACTCCATGTTCACAGAGCTGGATGGGAACAATTTTGGCTGATAAAATCTCATCCAGGAAGGTCTGGACCAAAAGGTGAAGCAGCTCAGAGGAAGGACAGCAGGAAGAGAAGAGTCACTGCCAGCTCCTGAGTCACAGGTCCAGGCAAGACCTGCATTATGAATAACACCCCTTCCTTGGCTGACTAAAAAAGGATTAATTTTTAAAAACCCAACTGATTTTTATTATTAATGTCCTACCTGGGTGCCTCACGCTTGCAAATAAAATGAATTTGGGTTGCTTTCACATTTATCTTCAAGTGGTTTCACATCAAGTCTTACAGACATAAAAAGTGGCCTGCAAAGAAAACAGAAGTTTTTTTAATATGTTTGCCATCAGATGGCTTCATGGGCATGTTATTTTCAACCCATAGAATCTTATTAATTTCAGTTTTTATATCTGATGCCTGTTTTAAATAAAAAAAAATTGGAATTTGTTGGGGTTTTTTTATGATTTGGTACAAATAGGAATACACAACATCTGGTAAAGTTGCATGAGCATGTGGTTCCAACCTGCTTGGAGCAGTTGCAAGTGTGTTCTGAATATTTATCAGGTATTCTAAGCCAATTATTCCCTACTAGTCAATAAAAAAGGAATTATCCCAACAGCTTCCCTGTCATGCATGGGATCACAGTGAAATTAGGAAGAGTGCACGGTTAATTACTCCAAATGCTTCCTGGGTGTTTTACAAGGCACCTTTTCCAGGGAGAAATGGCATCCTGAAGGTGCTGTGGCTCTGCCTCTGGGCCAAGGAAAAGGTGACAGGACCAAACCAGTGTCACCTTCCCGCAGCACCGGGAGGGGCACGAGCCTGCCACGATCCCCAGCCCGTGCCCCTGTGCCACAGAAACCTCTGGGAAGGGACACAACCGACAGGATTTAGGACCTGAACGACTTCTGCAGGTCTGGGCAGGCGTGCTCCTGTCTCACGGCCAACAGGCAGGAAAATTGAACCCGAACCCCTCACGCTAATCCCGCTATGGAAAAAGGGTTTGAGCAGGGAAAGCAGAGAGGGGATGGGCTGAGTGTGTAACTGAGCACAGAGGAGGCAAGGGCCAGCAGGGATGGTGCCTTTTAGGGCTACCTAAAAACAGAGGCTAGACAGAATTCAGAGAATAAAAAGCAGCTTATTTTATTGAAGGGCCTTCAGGTACATTTAGGGCAGACAAAGCCCACCCAAAATGGATGAGGGGTCACAAGTTTTGACACTTTTATAAGTTTGTTCCATTTGCATATTGGGGGTTCATCTTCCAATTACAGCTCCAGCTAATGAAGTCATTCACCCCAAGTTTGTTCCCCCAACTCCCTTTTGTTTCCATCTCAGGGCCTGAGGCAGTGAGGTGTCCTTGATTGCCAGGCCTGGACAGGAATTGTTGTGTCTGCCCTAAATGGGAAAGCAGCAGCTCCCTCTGTACATGGAGTTTAGTTATACACTGAAGAATTACAGGATTACAAATAGATGAAAATATAAAAAGCAGAACCCTGAGGCATCAGGGATGACCTGGCCAATGGCACTGAGCTGCCCCTGTCCCTGCAGGGCCCAGGGGTGGCAGCAGTGCCGGGCAAGGCCGCGGTTCCTGAGGAGGTGCAGGGGAAGCTCTGCAGGACATATTGGGGGCTCATCTTCCAATTACAGCTCCAGCTAATGAAGTCATTTACCCCAAGTTTGCTGCCCCCAACTCCCTTTTGTTTCCATCTCAGGGCCTGAGGCAGTGAGGTGCCCTTGATTTCCAGGCCTGGAGAGGAATTGTTGTGTCTGCCCAAATTGGGAAAGCAGCAGCTCCCACTGCACATGGAGTTTAGAGTTACACACTGAAGAGCTACAGGATTACAGATTACAAATTACAAAGCAGAACCCTAAGGCATGACCTGGACAATGGCACCGAGCTGCCGCTGTCCCTGCAGAGCCCAGGGGTGGCAGCAGTGCCGGGCAAGGCCGCGGCTCCAAGGAGGTGCAGGGGAAGCTCTGCAGGACATATTGGGGGCTGCAGGCTCCTTGTCCCCGAGGGCTGCTCGGGTGGCTGTGAGAGGAGCCCCTCTGTCATCACCCAGCTCCGTTTCCTCCCTTTCCTGCCCCAGCCCCATCCTGGAGCGCTGGGATCGCTGTGGAGCCGCTGCTGGCCCGGGGGCCTCTGCTCCGGGCCCTTCCAAGCACAATAAAAGCCTCGACCACCAGCCCCAGAAGTCTCTCCTAATTAAAGGCTTTAGGGATGGATGTTCCAAGAGCCGCCGAGCTCTGGTGGAAGCGGGACAATGTAAACAGCTCGGGAAACGCCTCGGGTTCCAGATGAGCTCCCCACACAAAACCCTGACCCACCAGAGCAGAGCAGAGCAGCAGGGAAGGCCGTGCATTGGCCCTTGTGCTGCTCAGACAGCAGAGAAGTGGAAAAACTCCTTCATTTCTGATTATTCCTGATCAGCAGAGGTCCAGAAATTTGGCAGCTGGGAGCTTTTTTCCCCTCAGCTTTTGTGTGTGTCTATTACTGTTATTCATTCCCCTCCTGCAGCACCAAACTCCCTGCTCTAGGATGGGTTATAACACCTAAAAAACAAAAGCTGTTCTTGCCCTGTGGGCAGCAGGGATTGGAAATATTTGATCCACCTTTTCAGTGTTGTCCAGGGATTTTCCTCTCCGAGGGAGGCTGTGCCCTTGGGCACCAGGGGCAGTCCATGACATTATCGTCCATCAGAGAACACTGGGACTGGTTTTACACTCATTAATTAAACCCCACGTGCTGCCTGGGAGGTGGATACAGGCAATCCACCTTAAATTAACCTGGAAAAGGGGAATTGGACCTCACAGGTGCCCTTCCATTCCTGCTCGGCTCCCAGATAAACCAGGACACCAGGTTGTTCATGCTGGTGCCATTCCCTCAAATCTGTCACAGACCACACAGGGGAATCAAGTGAGCAACACCAAAAAAAAAACCCCTCCTGCCTATATCCATCCTCTCCTGCTTCCCTTCTTGCTTTTCTTAGCATCCAGAAGAAAGAAAGGAAAAAAAAATTTAAAGGCAACCTGAAACCACTCCACACTCCCAATGAGAAAATAAAAATGGATGTTGCAGGCTCATGTGTTCTATACGTTTCCAAATATTTCCATCTGCTCCTGAAATTTCCATTAGGAGTTGCCAAAAACTCTTACAGAATTGTTAACACGATGGTAAATTTAGATTCTTTTTATGGAGAGATGTTTCCCCACCCTCATAAAAGTCTGGTATCAATTTGTCCTGTCACTGATAAGCCAGAGGTATTGCTGGATTTCCCCTTTTGCTCCCTGGGATGGGCTCAGGGAAGAGAGGCAGCACCCACATTTTGGGTCTGGGTCTGTCCCCTCTATCCTCCTGGTGTCAGCACAGAAATTCCTTCCAAGGAAATCTCCATCCCCAGCTGCTCACCCCAGGATTGTTCTTCAGTTTGGAAGCTCCCAAAGGAAAGCTGGAGGCTGCTGAGGTGTCCTGCCCATCCACCACCCAGAGCCTGATTAAAATCTTGGTGTTAATGAGCAGGTTTCAGACCCTGATTAAAAAAATCTTGGTGTTAAGGAGCAGGTTTCAGACCCTGATTGAAATCTTGGTGTTAATGAGCAGGTTTCAGAGCCTGATTAAAATCTGAGCAGGTTTCAGAGCCTGATGAAAATCTTGGTGTAAATGAGCAGGTTTCAGAGCCTGAATAAAATCTTGGTGTTAATGAGCAGGTTTCACTCCCAGAAGGAGTGAGGGATGACAGGACAAAGGGAATGGCTTCAGACCCACAGAGAGTAGAGTTAGATGGGATGCTGGGCAGGAATTCCTCCCTGTGAGTGTGATGAGGGGCTGGGATGGATTTCCTAGAGCTGTGGCTACCCCTGCATCCCTGGAAGTGCCTAAGACCAGGCTGGACAGGGCTTGGAGCAGCCTGGGCTGGTGGAAGGTGTGGGTGGAACTGAGTGATCTTTGTCTCTTCCAACCCAGGTGAGTCTATGAGGACAGATATGGCTCAGGGGTGATGGGAACCCCCCAAAAAAAAGCTCAGGGTGAGGTGGAGAAAGCAGAGTGAGGCCTCAGCGTGCAGGGAACGCTCTCAGGAATATTTCCAGGTGCAGTGACACATCCAGAGTTGTGTCACTGGGCTGCTTCACCAAGGGTTTGCTTCTAACACTTGTTTTTTGAGTGAAACAGGGCATTGTTTCCTGTCAAAAAGGGCTTTTTTGGCCCTCTTGTGCATGGTCCACCAGGGGAATTACCCGTGGCATCACTCAGGGCTGGCCAAGCTGTTGCTGGAGTTCTGAGGAGAGCACAGCGAGTGCTCTGCAATATTATTTTAAAGCACTCACTCCCTGCCACCATTTAATAATAATCCTGTTCCCACAGCAGAGCAAATTAGGGCCATTTTCCAGAGGAGAGGTGAAAGATTCAGAGCCCACACAAAAAGGCAGAAAGCACCAGTCCCTGCTCTGGGATGATGTCAAGAACCTGTGGAACCTGAGCCTTGCCCAGCCTCATTTTGTTCATCCAGACAGACCCCTGTGCCTCAGGCAGGTGAAATCCCTGCTCTGCCCGAGCTCCTGGGTCACATCAGAGCCTTTTCCTGCCCTCCTGGCACAGCTGCCCCATTTCCAGGAGCATTTCTCCACATGGAAAAGGGATTTTTGTCCCCTCCAATATTCCCAGGCTGTTGTGCCAGGCTGTCCCCTCCATCTCCCAGGATTTAAAATGCTGCCCCAGGGCTGAGCAGCAAAACCCCAAAAAGATGAGAAAGCCCTGCTGGAGCACCCACAGGAGTGGGATTGCTGTGTGGACACTGTGAGATGTTATAAATCATCACCTCATTAATTAATCTGAGTTTTACTCTGCCTGATCTTGCTTGAGGAAGGAGGGAGAGCTGCCACTCTGGATTCTGGCTCCTGGGGGAACAGCTCAACAGTGGGGTCAGGGAAGGGGGATTAAAATGCCTCAATTCATTTTTTTTCCACTTTCAGGATGTATTTTGCCCATCTGCCAGCTGATTTCTCCACTCAGCTCCTGGCACCACACGAATTCCAGGGCTGGGGAGAGGCTGGGAGGGTGACAGGGAGAAAGGAGCCCTTCCCACCAAGAGCAAACCCACCTGATCTCCTCCTCGATGTTGAGTTTTATATTTTTTTGGTCAGGCTTGGGATTAAATGTGCTAGAGAGTATTTCTTGTTCAGACTTAGATATTTATTAGTTTTTATCTATATTACAGTTTCACAAATTGTGAGTTCTACAGCACTTCACTCTAACAAACTAAAAATTGAGCCCTATCTCTCTACAAGGGTTTTTAAGGATAAACTGTCT